AGCAGGAGGGGCAGGTACAGCGCAAGAGACAAAGTCAAAGAGAGAAACTTCATCTACTGTATCGCAGAGCAAGTACAGCTGCAGGTCGTCGACCCAGACCGCAAAGTCAATGGCGCGACCCTCAGCGTCAAAAGCCAGGACACTGGGGGTGGCCATGATAGCAGCTGACAGTCTCACCGGACAGGAAGGGTCGGGTCGCTCAGCAGCACAGCAACACAGCAGCACACCAGCGCCGAGTGGCCCAGGATCAGTAGCAGCTCCATAGGAGCAGGAGCTCGGCACCTCAGACGGCTCGGGCGGCTCGGGCGGCTCGGGCGGCTCGGGCGGCTAGGGCGGCTCGGGCACGCAGCAGCACGGGCGGCGCGGGCGGCTCTGCTGCTCGGGCGGCTCGTGCGGCTCGGGTGACGCTGGGGCTCACGGGCGGCGTGGGCGTCATGGCGGGCGGCTCACGGGCAGCTCGCGGGCGGCTCACGGGCGGCTGCACGGGCGGCTGGGGCGGCGCACGGGCGGCTCGTGGAGTTGCTGCACGGACGGCTGCACGGGCGGCTGCACGGGCGGTTGCACGGGCGGCGCACGGACGGCTCACGGGCGGCTGCACGGGTGGCGCGTCGGGCGGCAGCACGGGCGGTTGCACGGGCGGCTGCACGGGCGGTTCACGGGCGGCTGCACGGACGGCTGTACGGGCGGCTGCACGGGCGGCGCGTCGGGCTGCTGAGGGCGACGCGCGGGCAGCCCACGGGCGGCTAGCGGGCGTCGGGCGGCGCGCAGGCGACGAGCGGCTAGTGGGCGCCGAGCGGCTAGCGGGCGTCGGGCGGCTAGCGGGCGTCGGGCGTCTAGCGGGCGTCGGGCGGCTGGCGCGTCGGGCGGCTAGCTCACGGGCGGCCCTGGGTGGCGCACGGGCGGCTCTGGGCAGCGTGCGGGCGCTAGGGCGGGCAGCGGGTCGGGAGAGCGCTAGGGCGCAAGGGCGGGCAGCGCGCGGGCGCTAGGGCGCTAGGGCACGAGGGCGGGCAGCGGGGCGCGGGCGCTAAGGCGGCGCTCGGGCTGCTAGGGCGGGCGGCGCGCTAAGGCGGCGCTCGGGCCGTAGGGCAGATCGAAAAAAAAGGGGGACCTGCTCGATACCATGAGAAAGTTAGAACGAGAATTCGATGTGGTGGGCTCTAAGCACAGTTCCCATGGGGGAACCTGCTCGATACCATGAGAAAGTTAGAACGAGAATGAAATGACTATGAACGAAGTGAGTACAAATAGGAAACCCTAGTTGGGTTGTACCCCCTATGGGATACCCCACTATAGCCTACACACATAAGTAAGCTATAATATTCTGACATGGGGTACTCAATAGTAGGTACAGCCCAATTTAGGGTTTGCTATATGTACTCAACTGCTTGCTAGTAAAACCCCTTCCATTCATTCCTCATTCTTCACATGGCATAGAGCTGGTTCCCTCCTGGGACCATTCCTTCCTAGGGCCCACCACTTCGCTTAACTCTTTTTCTGCCCTGCCCTTAGCGCGTTTCGCGCTCTGCCCTGCGGCCCTTCGTGGCCCCTTCGCGACCCCGTCGCGGCTCTGTCGCGGCCCCGTCACGGCCTCGTCCCGGCCCTGCCCCGTCGCCCTGTCGCGCCCCCCCCCCCCCCCCTTGTCGCGGCCCCCCGTCGCGGCCCTGTTCCGTCGCCCGCCGCGGCCCTGTCGAGGCCCTGCCCCGGCCCTGCCCCGACCCTGCCCCGGCCCCGCCCCGGCCATGCTCCGTCGCCTGTCGCGGCGCACCGGGGACCCGTGCATCGCCCCCCCCTCTTTTCCCGTCGCCTGTCGAGGCGACCTGGGCGGGGGGGGCGAGCGTCGCCCCTTCAGCCGCCTGTTTTGGCGCCCTGGGAGGCCGCGCGTCGCCCCCCCCCCCCCCCCCCCGTAACCTCCCTACCCGCCATCCCGCCCTGCCCTGTGTTAGGGTTTGGGGGTGGCGAGTAGGGGGTGGCGGGTGTGTGGTCTCCCGTGCTCCTCCTCCTCCTCTGTCTCCCACTGCTGCAGCTGCCGCTGAGGGGGGTGGGTGTGTGGGAGTCGACGGAGTGGTGCTAGGGGGTGGGGTGTGAGTGAACCTAGGGTGCAGCGGGGGGTGTGTGAAAGGGGGGTGGGATAGTTTGGGGAGGTTGAAGGGGGGTGGCCGCCGTGAAGCCCGCAGCTCCAGTCGCCCGTGAGACCGTTGCGCCAGTCGCCCGTGAGCCCGCGCCAGTCGCCCGTGAGCCAGTTGCTCCAGTCGCCCGTGAGTCCGTTGCTCCCGCCGCTCAGAGTTAGCCGCGGAGCCAGTTACTCTAGTAGCCCGTGTGCGAGTTGCTCCAGTTGCCAGTGTGCCAGTTGCTCCAGTTGCCCGTGTGCCAGTTGCTCCAGTTGCGCCGAGTGCCAGCAGCTTCAGCTTCCGCCCACTACCTCCTCTCCTCTCTTAGTCCCTCCTCCACACTTGTCCTCGGTGATAGCCTCTAGCTTTGCTTACATTTGTGAACTTTAAACTGTTGCTTCTTGTACTTGTGCTCAGATTGTGTGGTGACATTGTGATCCACCCTGAGCTTGTGTTTTGCTTGCTTGTTGTGCTGATTACATCCCACTTTGGCTATGGGGGTGTGTCAGAATGTTATGTTTGTCTAGCCTGCAGTGGGGTACTCAATAGTGAGTTCAGCCCAATTTAGGGTTTGCTATATGTACTCAACTGCTTGCTAGTGAAACCCCTTCCATTCATTCCTCATTCTTCACAGCCCGGAGCGCGGGTTACCCGCCGAGCCATGAGGTCGGGGTGCGATGTGCGAAGGTGGCGGGCGGATTGTCGATGCGAGGGTTGCGATTGGTAACGGTGCTGACTGTGGTGCTACAGTGATGTACGCGTTGAGCAGGGATGCAAAGTAAGGAAAAGGAATTTTCCTTACAAAGACCAAGTAGTACTCCTAGTCTACTAGAATACTCACGTAACTAGGTTTCGCCAACACTATTTCAAAACCACATAACTTGAAGAATTACCATGCTGACCCCGGGCTTTAAGAGAACCTAGGAACAGCAGCAAGAACTCATCCATGTACACGTAGGTAACAATCATCTCCATACCGTACTAACCCTGAAAACTCAGTATGAAACAGACCAGTATTAGAATGGACTAAGATACTAGCGGAAGCTTTAGTAGTCTTAGAACCTCCTCCTAAAGCCTAGGAATCATAGGAGCCCACTTGGGCATGAACCATGCTAGAACCAAAGTGGTTTCCAAAAGTGAAATGCCAACAAGAGAGAACCCTAACCTATAGGGTTTGGGAGGTGGTCCACTCTAAAGAGTGTACACCATAAGTTCTCCCAACCCAACCAATGTATTCTACACTACCATAGTGTAGATGTACCACTACATATGTTTATTGGAGCAACCCGAATTAACCTTAATTCCAACACCCCCCCTTGCTCCAATAAGCATTAAAGTTCACCCATAAATCAAAATACAATCCCTCCAGCGAATGAAGCCTTGGCCTTCGCAGTAATCACTCGCATGCCGATGCGCTCCAGGTTCTCATGCAGCTGCAAGCTTGGAAGAGCTTTGGTGAGCATGTCGGCATCCTGGAGGTGGGAGCGTACTGAGTGCACCTCGACCTCCTGTTGGCGCACCGCATCCCGTACAAAGTGCCATGCCACCTTAATGTGCTTGGTGCGCTGATGGAGAACGGGATTGTGGGCAAGGGAGACAGCTGCCTCATTATCACAGAGCAATGGAATAGCCCCCCCATCCCCCACATGCATCTCTGCCAACAGACTCCTCAACCAAATGGCCTCCTTGGCCCCCTCCGATAGAGCTTTGTACTCAGCTTCAGAAACGCTTGCTGCAACACTGTCTTGCTTTTTGCTATACCAGCTGATTGCTCCTCCTCCCAGCTTAAAGATGTAGGCAGAGCGACTCTTGCCATCAGTCTCACCACCCCAATCCGAGTCTGTGTACCCGACAACCTGCTCACCACCTTGGCGCTCATACCTGATGACACGATCAGCTGTGTCGACCAAGTACCTGAGTGCTCTCAGTGCAGTGCGCATGTGAATGCGTCTTGGTGCCATGCAGGACTGTGCAAGGGTGTTGACAGTGAAAGACATGTCAGGACGGGTGGTCACAGCAGCATACATCAAGCTGCCAATGAGACTCTGGTACACCTTGACATCAGCTGCAACACCTTCCTCAATTGACCAAGTACCATTCCTGATCTTAGAGAGATCATTGGGTGACATTGGAGTATGCACCCTATGGGTCTCCTTCAGCAGATCACCAAACCTTCCCTGGAGACCACGGACATACTTCTCCTGACCAATCTCCAACCACCCATCCTTGACCGACCTGCGAACCTCCACACCAAGGTACATGGATACCTCACCTAGATCCTTCATCTGGTACCTCTGAGCAAGCACCTCCTTGATCTGACCGATCAGCTCCAAGCGTGGAGACACAAGCAAGAGGTCATCCACATACACCAATACATACACTGGCTCTTCATCCACAAACCTGATGTACAGAGCCTCATCACATGCACTGCGGTCAAACCCTGCTGCAATCAAGGTGGTACCAATCTCCTCATTCCAAGCACGAGGCGCTTGCTTGAGCCCATAGAGAGCTTTGCGCAAGCGATGCACCCTACCTGTACCATCATCAAATCCCGCAGGTTGCCTCACATACACTTCCTCTTGAAGGAGTGCATTGAGGTAAGCATGATCAACATCCTCCTGTTGTACATGCCACCCTTTTACCGCGGCTTCTGCAAGAAGCACCCGACCTGAGGTCAGCTTGCCCACAGGGGCAAATACCTGATCATAGTCCTTCTCAGGCTCCTGAGTGTACCCCTTAGCAACAAGGCGAACCTTGTGCTGTACCACCTTATCCTCCTTGTCAGTTTTCCTGCGGAAAACGTACCGGACCCCAATGGCCTTCTTACCTGGAGGTAAGTCAACCGGCTCTGGATCCCATACACCCATAGTGCGCATTGCATTTACCTCCTTCTCAGCGCCTGCCTTCCACGCAGGGCCCTCAGGGCCACGCAGGGCCTCAGCGAGTGTGCGTGGGACATCACCTGTGCTCACACCTGCCAGTGCAACACCTTCTACCTCCCTGGCCAAACATAGCATGCCCTCAACCACACCAGCATCCCCCCCTACCTCCTCACCACCTGTACCAGACTGGATACCAAGCACCTGCAAACCCGTAACCGGTGGTGGGGAGGTAGTCGCTGGTGACGGAGGGGCACCCGTAGAGAGAGGGATAGAGCGCTGACCAGAGGAGGAGGAAGAGGAAGTAGCCTGTGTAGCGGATCTCCGCTGAATGACCGAGGGGCCACTGAGCTGCTGCAGAGGGGTGGGTTGCTGCTGCACCGACACACTCAGCGGTGCCGGTGGCAGTGGTGAAAGTGGCATCTCAACGTCGTCAGCCGTTGCTGAAGGTGGCGAGAGTGGAAGAGGGAGGAGTTGGGAAATTGCAGCTGCATCCTGCAGAAGCTCCCCAAATTCCTTTGCCTTGTCCCAATCCTTCCACATCACATTCTCAAGGAAATCAACATCCCGAGCAATGCGAATGCGCATGATAGAAGGGTCCAGCATGCGCCAACCCTTGCTCTCCATGTCCACCCCAACACAGACACACATGACAGCCCGTGCATCAAGCTTGCCACCCTTCTCATGCCCATGCAACATGACACTCCCCATGCAACCCCAAATCCGAGCCATGCCCACATGCGGCTTCTGGCCGGACCACGCCTCCATTGGTGTGATGGAGGCAGGCAAAGCACTGTGGGTGACCCTGTTCTTAACCCACACGACCCACATCAATGCTTCACCCCACAAGCGAGCAGGGAGACCACTGTCGACCAACAATGTGCGAATCCCCTCTGCCATCGTCCTGTGCCACCTCTCCACAACCCCATTCTGTTGCGGTGTATCTGCGACGCTCAATTGAGTTTTAATGCCAAACTCTGCCTTCCATGCTTTTACAGCTTCCCCCAAGAACTCGCCACCCCTGTCCGAGCGAACAGCCTTCAGCTTCCGCCCACACTCCAACTCCACGTCCTTATGCCACTGGCGAAGGACTTTTGCAACTATGGCCGATTCCTTGTTGGGGAGGGGGAACGACCAAACTCGTCTGGTGAAGTCGTCAATGAGACTGAGGACATACACCGCTCCTCCCAGTGATGGTGTGCGCACCGGCCCCCACAAATCCATGTGGACCTCATCCAAAGGCCCAAGTGCCCGAGACGCCTCATGGGGAAACGGCTTCCGAGCCGACTTTCCCAATAAGCAGGGCTCACATGGGGAACAATCAGTGTTCCCCCCCCCAATCTCCAAGCCCAGTACACTGTTCCCCCGAGCCATCTGTTGCAATGTTGTGGGGGCGGTATGACCAAGGCGGCGATGGGCAAGGGTCAATGGGGAAAATGAGGAGGACGACTTAGCTGCAAGAGCACTGCCCTGTGTGCCCTGAGCAAGAGGAAGAAACATCCGCACCAATCCATGGTCCCTTCCCCTCTCCTTTTCTCCAATCGCCAACACCCGCTCCCCCCGTTGAAGGACACATCTCTTGCCTTTGAATGTGACAATGACATCTCGAGAGGTGAGGTGTGGGACTGACAGCAGACGCGTGTGCATCTCAGGCACAAGGTGGACCTTTTGAATCCTCAGCAGCTGACCTCCAGCACCAACCACTGGCACCTCACCCATGCCAACAGCTTTCACCACCCGTCCATCTCCCAATCTAACTCCCCGAACCTCTGGTGGTTGAAGCTTACTTTTGAAGTCCGATGCATAAGGAGTAAAGTTGTGGCTGGCCCCACTGTCAATCCACCACCCCTCTCGCGGCTGCTCCTCTCCCACTGCTGCAACTGCTTCTCCAACCACTGCCTCTGCCTTGTCATCCTGCTCCTCCTCATCCGCCACCTGTGCCTTGCCGTTGGACCCACGACCCCCCCGCTGTAAGAATGTCGGAATGCCTCCCTTAGGTCGATGAGGACATCGCTGCCATGCATGTCCCTCATCCCAACAGCCATGACACAACCCCCGAGGAGCCATGCCCTTGGACCCCCAAGGGAAATCAAGCACTCCCGCTTTGCCTTTCCCTTGACCCCATCTGCCCGAGTTGGTGTCACTGCTGCTACCGCTGTCTCCATGCTTTCCTCCCTTGACCCAATTTCCCCTGCCGCTGCTGCCCACTTTCGTACCCGCTCCAAATGTGGCTACACCATCCGATCTTGGTGCGACACCAATCCGCATCTCCTCGCTCCTCAAGGAGGTAAGCAGCTGATCCTTAGTGAGCGATGATGACTGGTTGTTCATCACCACCTTCAGCATCTCAAAGTGAGGAGGTAGTCCTTTGAGTATCCTCATCATCCACTCCTCAACCTCCTCCTTTCCTCCTGCTGCCAAGTACTTGGACCTCAAGTCCTCGGCACGCGCCCAGTATGCAGCCACCCCCTCCCCCTCTTTCATCTTCAATGAAGAGAGCTCCTCAGAGAGTGCCATCCGGTTACACAATCCACGCTGAAGGTAGAACTCCTTCACTCGTATGTATGCCGCTGCTGTGCCTGCAGGAATTCGGGTGACCGCTCTTGCTCCGCCATCAACAGGTGCGCTGCCCAACTCGGTCTTGCCGCCGAACTCCCGTACCAAGCGAATTAGCTCATCTGGCACCAAGGCATTGCAGAATTGAGCGAATGCCTTCTGATTTTTTCTCTCCCACTTCAGCCGTGCGTCACCCGATGCAGGCCGCTCCTCCGAACCATCAAAGTACCCCCATAGATCGTGTGCCTCTGCCCATTGTTCGAATCGGAAGCTCCAAGTCCAATAGTCGCTCCCGTCGAACTTTGGCGTACTCTCCAGCTTCCCTTCACCTGAGTCATGATCCATTTGCGGCAGACACTCTGGAGATTGACGTTGAGGTGGTGGTGAAGGCAACGGCGGCGGTGGTGGAGACGATGTGGACAGATTTGCCCCCTCTTGGTTTTTGGAGCGTAACTCCGCGCTCGAACCTCCGAATGATGAGCCGTTTGTCTCAGATGAATCTTTGCTCCAAGACCGTTCCGATGATGTATCGCGTTCCTGGATTCCGTTTCCAAGCTGTCCGCTTAAACTCGTCGAAGTTGGCCGATTTCCCGTCGACGAAGACTCAACCGTTTCTCCCGATTTTTGGCTTGTTAGATGCGCCCTGGCCTCCTCTATCGGCGTCTGGCCTCCAATCTTTTTTCCGCGCTTTAAATCTTCCCCGATTCGCGATTTTCCAATTCGTCCGCCGGCAGTTTTTCGCGAATTGCGTCCGATCCCCTCGTCGATTGGTGACGATCTTGAGGCAATTGTTGTAGAGCGTGCTGAGATCTTTCCAACGGTATGCTGCACGTCTTGATCGGCCAAAGTTGACTGAGCGCCTCCGTGGATGGATGTTGCTTTTCTCGTCCTCCCAAACGGATCTACACGATTTCCAGCAGTTTTCTTCTCTCCTCCTCCCCTCCCACGTCCAGAGTCCGCCACGGTGCAATTTCGGCAGCCCTTCGGGAGGAATGGAAGCTAACTAGCTTCCACCAAGATCTTATGGTCCAATGTCTTGAGTAACTCCTTTTCCAACAGATTGCTAGGCCTTCCTTGCTCTGATACCATATTAGAATGGACTAAGATACTAGCGGAAGTTTTAGTAGTCTTAGAACCTCCTCCTAAAGCCTAGGAATCATAGGAGCCCACTTGGGCATGAACCATGCTAGAACCAAAGTGGTTTCCAAAAGTGAAATGCCAACAAGAGAGAACCCTAACCTATAGGGTTTGGAAGGTGGTCCACTCTAAAGAGTGTACACCACAAGTTCTCCCAACCCAACCAATGTATTCTACACTACCATAGTGTAGATGTACCACTACATATGTTTATTGGAGCAACCCGAATTAACCTTAATTCCAACAACCAGCTGCAACAACACTGAGCAATATGTAGGATGCCTAAATGTGATAACTGAGCTGAGGGCCTGATGCAGAAGTTCTGCCATGATGCCCAAAACCAAACCCAGTAGGGTCCTCCTAATAGGGTACCGTACTATCAACCAGCACAGTTGGCACCACCCACATGGGCACAAACAAATGCAGCCGTGAGTTGGCTATCACTCCTCGGTCACTGTGCTCGGTCACTGGCTCTCATATGGCATTAAACTCTTCTACAGTGCTCCCACACTACCCCCTTAAAACACCGCAGTCCACCAATCTTGCGCACCCTCGAGAGTTACCTGCCACAGCTCCAGCAGCCCCCCTCCACGCCTCACCGCCCCCTCCACACCCCATTCCACCGCAGCACACATGGCACCTTGCCCTGCTGCCTCTGCAGCAGCCACAGCACAGCCAAGCGCGACGAGGAACACGCTGAGGTTGAGCAGCAGCCCATGCAGCACATCCCTCACCATGCCAGCACGTGCCATCCAATACCCCGTGCGCTCCATCATGCCCATCATCTCACTCAACGGGCTCGCTCCTGCTGCTCCTGCTCCCCCACTCTCCCCCTCGCTTTGCCTTGCTGCAGCAGTCAAGCCCTGCAGCAGCCCTGCGAGGCCTGCAGGGCTGGCAGCGGCATGTCTGGGAGAGATGAACGTCTGGAGCAGCAAGGAGGACGCGATGAGAGCAGCGTCCGTGGCAAGCACAGTGAGACAGGGGTGCGCGGGCAGGAAGAAGAGGAACGACAGCAGCGAGGGGGGAGAGGAGAGAGAAGCTTCATTCAATCCCGCTGCTGTTGCTGTCAGCCCCTCAGGTGCCTCGGTTCCTGCTCCAGCAGATGCTGTGAGGCCAGGCAGCCAGTGTGTGAGGTGCGGGCAGTGCAGTGGAAGCATGCGCAGGCAGTAGAGCAACGCCAGCAGCAGGGCTACAGCTAGTCGCACTGGCGTGGTGGCCTGTGCCGCCAGCACCAGTTGCTGCATGGAGAGCAGCAGGCGCATTGTGGAGCGCTTCTGTACCCGTGGTGGCTCCTGGAATGCTCCAAACGCACCACCTGCACCGGCCTGCCTGGGACCTAGCAGCGGGGCGTTCACGCCCAGCTGCTGCTGCTGCTGCTGGGCGAGTGCGGCAGAGAGGAAGGGCAGATGTTGGAATGAAGGAGCGCTGGGTGCCAAGGGATCGAACGGGAAGGGCGGGGCGGTGGAAGGATGGTCCGGTGAAGAGAGGGGTGCAGACGGCGCGGGTGCTGCTTGCTCTGCCACGGCAGCCACAGCAGCACCCTGTGCGGGCGTGGTGGATGGTGTGGCTGAGGGTGGCGTGGAGTCCAGCTGGGGCTGTTCAGGCGGAGTGGGCACGGCAGGACCTGGCAGGGGTGGCGCCGCTGGGGGGTTGTCTTGCAGATGGGATGCGCTGGGGGAATCGGCCTGTCCTGCAGGCGCTGCTGGGTGCATAGTTGTTGGCGCTGCTGTGTCCTGGGTATCAGTGGGTGCTGTGGACGCCACGAGAGAAGCGCCACGTGGGAGAGAGACAGTGGGAGAGGGGAGAAGAGGGCGGGCGGTGAGAGTGAGGTGATGAGCAACGGTGACGTGCAGAACCGTATGCAAGCGGGAGAGAGAGAGAGAGAGAGAGAGAGAGAGAGAGAGAGAGAGAGAGAGAGAGAGAGAGAGAGAGAGAGAGAGAGAGAGAGGAGCTGAATCAGAGGGCGTGGGGCTTGCGGAGAAAGGGTCAGATGATTAAGATGGGTAGCTGTACGCGAGCGCTTGGACTGTGGGTGTACGCGTGGTTTAAACTGTGCGTGACAGGACGCGGAAGGGATCGACGAAAGGGGCGACCGACAGAGACAGGGTGGACGACGGGGACAGTTGGGCAGTTGATAGAGATATCAGGCAAGAGAAGGAGAGGAGTAGGGGGAAGAGTGGGGGGAGAGTTGGAGAGGCGGGGAGAGGGAAGGGTTGAGGGGAGAGACGAGGGGAGCGAGGGTAGAGGGGGTGGGGGCATCGGGGTTTGGGAAGAAGACGAATCTAGCGCGCGCAGCATAAAAGGCCTCTAGAGAATATGCGACTGAAAAATTATGGGCGCGAGGTACACGAGAGACGGATCAAGCATTCACGGATCAAGATAGTATCAGGTCGGGATCTCACAACTGGGCTGTTGCGGTTGCGATTGCATGGCGGTCGCATCGCCCGTGATAAATCGTAGCCGCTCGGTGCCCTGGTTCAAGATCCGCCGTCGACGAGCTTCCCGGCGAGCAGCCGCGTCGGCCATCGCAGTGGTACGAGGAGATAGGTTAAGAGGTATGCGAGTAATTTAGGTTTCCTGGAGGATGCAAGGAAATGCGAAAATGAGACCAGAAGTGCAGCGCATAAATAGTGCGTGTTACAGTTCTGTTCAACATAGCCTTAAGAACTAAATTAGAAGGGAAACAATTTTTGGAACGGATAAAAATGGTGCAGTTAGGTATTCTTGAACGGACAAGTATTGCACGCACAATCAACAGTTTTGTAACATGCTCTCAGATTAGAAAAGTGGTCAGTTTGCACCAGGCCCCTGGAAGTCAGGAAATTTATGCTGGTATGCCATTGAAACGTTTTTTTACATGGCCCCTGCACCAGGGCTAATTTTATCAGGGTAAATCACCCTGACACCCTGATAATCAGGGTGGTTTTTGGCTATCACACTGATGCCTTAGGGTAATTGTTTCAGGAGTTTGTGTTCTCCTGATAGGCCGGGGTTTACATTTAAGGTACACTGACGGCCCAGGGTGTTAAGAATGAAAGTGTTGGTTCATTAATGTGGGTTGGGGTACATATAACAAACCCTAACATCTTTACCCCCTAAGACAAACCTCACTACAGGCTACAATATTTGACACACCCCCGTAGCCTAAGCGAGGGGTGTCAAGCAAAACCATAAGTGTACGGTCACAAGACAATTCACAAAGAAACAAAGCTCAAGGTGGATCACAACGTCACCACACACTCTGAGCACAAGCAACGGGGGCCACAAGGCCAGTTCGAGAGTTCACAAGTGTGTATAGCAAGAGTACAAGCAAAGCAAACAGTAGACTCAAGCCTATACATGACTAGAAACTGTGTCAACAAGGCCTAACTGCACACAACACCTCTGGTGGTCACAAGGCGGAAGCGCCTTGGTGAAGATGTCTGCAGTGTTGGCCTCGGACTCCACAAACTCGAAGCGAGCCTGTCCACGTCTCTGCAACTCTCTCAGAAGAAAGCACCTGACCTTAATGTGCTTCACTCTGCTCTCCAGTCGCGGCTCTCGACACCTTGTTGTCAGTGAACAAGGTCGTTGCAGAGCTCGGCCGCTCACCAAGGTCGGCGAGCAAGAAGGTCAACCAACGCAACTCCTGTGCCGCCATGGCACCAGCGTAGATCTCACCCTCAGCTGTAGAGGTCGAGACCGAAGAGAAGCGCGTGGACCGCCACGAAACAGCTCCAGAACCCAAGCTGAAACAGTACCCCTGAGTAGACCTATGAGTCTCAGCGTCGTCAGCGTAAGAAGAGTCACAGTGACCAGTAAGTACGACAGGCTGCTGCCCTCCAAAAACTAGCCCCACGCCTGATGTCGTCGCTAGGTACTTCGCCACCCTCACAGCTGCCGTCCAGTGAACAGGACACTGTCTCCCTGGCGCAACAAAGCGAGCAAGGATGCTGAGAGGGAAGGCGAGGTCCGGGCGAGTGCAAGTAATCAGGTACATGAGGCAGCCCACCAGCTCTGCGTAGGGACCGCTAGACTCAAACAGCTCATCAGGAAAGGGTCCAGTAAGTCTGTGGTCAACAGCAAGAGGTGTGCGCTGTACTGTGCAGTGCTGAAGCTCGAACCGCTGAAGGACCCGCTGCACCATGTCTGACAATGAGAGTATAATGGTGTGAGCAACTCTGTCCCTGGTGATCTTGTGAAGTTTAGAACGAGAGAATGTTTGAACTATGAAACAGTTGGGTACAAGTACTAACCCTAATTGGGTTGTACCCCTTATGGGCTACCCCACTACAGCCTACACAAATGTATAAGCTATAATGGTCTCTCACACCCCCATAGGCAAAGTGGGGGAGAACAAGTGGTCACAAGACCAGTCAAGCAAAGCAAAGCAAGCTCAGGGTGGATCACAAAGTCACCACACAGTCCGAGCACAAGAGCAAGGCCACAAGGCCAGTTCACATGCAAGATCATATATATAAAGGTAAACATGCAAGTGCAAGTATAGAAATAGTACAGTACAAACAAGATCAAGAAGTGAGCAAGTGAGGCCAGGTAGGCACAAGACCTAGCAAAGTACAGAAGCGCTGATGATCACAAGGCGGAAGGGCCTTGGTGAAGATATCAGCAATGTTGGCCTCAGAGGCCACGTAGGTGAGGCGGAGCTGACCACGATGCTGCAGCTCACGAGCCAGGAAGTAGCGGAGAGCAATGTGCTTCGTTCTGTGCTCCAGTCTGTGCTCCCGACACAAGGCCAGCATGGCCTTGTTGTCTACGTACAAAACTGGAGGAGAACGAGGCGGCTCTCCTAGGTCAGTCAGCAGGTAGGTGAGCCAGCGTAGCTCCTGTACAGCCATGGCCCCAGCGTAGATCTCAGCCTCACAACTGGAGCTGAGAACAGAAGACGAGCGGGTAGACCGCCACGAAACAGAGCCGGAGCCAAGGCTGAAGGTGTAACCCTGTGACGACCGCTGCAGAGCCTGGTCGTCAGCCCAAGAAGTGTCAGCGTGACCTGTGAGGACCACTCGACATCGCCCTCCAAGCACTAGCCCCATGCCCGACGTACTGCACACGTAGCGCAACACCCTCTTCGCTGCAGCCATGTGCTCTGGTCGGTGTCTCCTAGGAGCAACATAGCGTGCCAAGATGCTAAGAGGGTATGCAAGGTCAGTTCGTGTGCAGGTCATCAGGTATATGAGGCAGCCAACAAGCTCTGGGTACGGGCCACTCGGCTCTACGGACTCATCCGAAGGCAGAGCTGAGAGCGAGTGGCAAGTAGACAGAGGAGTGGCCTGAGGCGAGGAGTACGTGAAGCCGAAGCGCTGAAGGACCTGCTGCACCATGTGTGACTGAGTCAGGGTAATGGTGCGCTGTGCTTTGTCCCAGGTGATCTGCAAGCCAAGGTAGCTGCGCAGTTCACCCAGGTCTGTGCACGTGTGTCTCTTCCGCAGCTCGGACTTCACGTGGGCGAGTCCAGCAGTGTCTGCAGTGGCAAAGACCAATTCGTCGACGTACACGAGGATGTAGAACGGCGGTAGCGAAGTGTCGGTGCGGAGAAACAGCGACGGGTCAGCAGTAGAGGGAGCAAACCCAAGAGCCGCAAGAGTCGTCCTCACTGTGTCGTGCCACTCACGAGGCGCCTTGCGGAGATCGTAGACTGGCCGCTTGAGGCTCCACTAGGTACCAGGAGGGAACGACCCAGTGAAGCCAGGTGGGCGGCAAAGCCAGGTCTCCTCATGTAGGATGCCCTGTAGGAAAGCAATGCTAAAGTCAAGAGAGTGAAGCTCGTAGGCACGCTGACCGGCGACGTGCAGCAGCACCCGAAGAGTGGTCATCTTCGGGGTAGGGGAGAAGGTATGGAAGAAGTTAACTCCCTGTCGCTAACTAAAGCCTCGTGCAACACAATGCGCCTTTGTCACAGGATCGAATTCTCAATCGAAACTTGTCACTAAATTTGAATACAAGGCATTTTTATACTCGGAAAATACAAGGATAAACGAGATAAAACGAACCTTCGGGAACACGCCCTTCCCGATACTACAATCACAAGTGCGCACAAGCACGCAAGGCTATTGGCACTTGGGATTACGCCCAGATTACACCGTATACACCACTGTCGGCGCTGTCGGTGCCGTATAATAGGTATGTCGGTGGGAAAAGTAGGAAATAAGAGAAATAAATAGAAGGCTCTAGAAAATAGAATAGTAGGCCGATTGAGATGAGATAAAGACCAAAATAAAGAGGAGAAAAGGGAGAATAGGATAACGGAAAAATATAATAGTGAGAAAATATTATAACGGGGACGTCCTCACACACTTCCCCCCCTCAAAGTTGGGTGGTAGAAGTAACACCCTGCTTGACAAGGTAGTCTTGGAGAGGACGGCGGGCGTTATCCATGTCGTGTTCAGGTACCCAGGTATCCTCGGAAGGATCATAGCCTTTCCAACGAATCAAGAGCTCCAAGGTACCGCGACGTCGTCATCGGTGCGCTAGAACGGCTTCGACTTCGTACTCGGGTTCCCCATTAACGATCACTGGCAGTGGCGGCGGCGGCTGGCAACCTTTGAAGACCGTGTTTGGGTCACGATAGGGCTTGAGAAGTTGAACATGGAAGGCATTGTGAATTCTCCAGGTAGCTGGTAAACGCAAGCGGAAGGTTACTGGAGTGACCTGCGCCTCGACGAGAAAAGGTCCGCAGAAGCGAGGTCGGAGCTTAGACGGAAGATGGCTAATGTCGAGATTGCGTGTATCCAGAAGCACTTGATCGCCAATCTTGATGGAATGATCGTTGCGACTCCGATCAGCGAGCTTCTTTTGTTGCTGCTGGATAGTCAAAAGACGTTTATGCGTGCGCTCCCACAATTGGTGCATAGTGGTAATGAAGTCATGCGCGGGTTGCACCGTGGCGGGTACTGTTGGTTTCGGAGGCGTGAGTGGGTTGCGACCGTAACAGAGGAAGAAAGGAGTTTGCCCTCTTGCGGCGTGCGTGGCGTTGTAATACGCAAACTCGAGAACCGGCAGGTGTGCATCCCATTTAGAGATATCGTCCTTACACGCTGCTCGCAGAAGCTGTTCGACAATCTGGTTGAGGCGCTCTGTCTGACCATCCCTTTGGGGATGATAGGCTGATGACATGGCGAGTTTGGTCCCCATGAGCGACATGAGCTCCTTCCAGAATTTACTCGTGAATTTCGGGTCTCTGTCGGAGATCAGCGTGGTTGGAATGCCATGTTGCGAGATGACGTAGCGGAAGAATAATTGCGCTGTCTCCTCGGTGCGAGCCGTTGTTGTCAGAGTATTATGACTGATGCATGTTTGTAGGCTATAGTGGGGTAGCACATATGGGGTACAGCTTTCTAGGGTTGTATTTGTACCCAACTCTGACTTAGTCATTTCATTCCTGTTCATTCTTTTCACAGTTGTGTGTGTCGGAATGAAGTGTCCCATTTTGG